AATGGGGGGGAAGAAGACACAACAATTCCTTGAACTTGTTGAGACAAGTTAACAGATATGACATTGATGTGGGATAGAGGGGAGAAGGAGGGGGGAAAGGAGGAATTGTAAAGGGACATGAAAATCAACTACAGTGTATATTGATAAAACTGAGAAAAATTTTTTAGAAATGAAAAGTCAAAATCATACAGATGATATTACCAGATATGTGATGTAAAACTAATTAACACACGAATAGTAAAAAGAATCTGACTATGAAGGAATTCAGTTTTTTCCAAATAATTATTAAAGAGGAAATCCAAATTGTAATTATAGACAGTCCCCAAATTAATATGGTTTTACTCACTCTTTTGAGTCTTTGTAGAAATGAAGAATGATGCCACTAAATTATCAGAACTTATTATATTTGGTTAAAGTCATATTTAGAAAGTTTCATATTCTTAAATACTTTTACTTTAAAAAAAAGAGAAAGAGTTCTAGTTTTGAAACCAGATAGGGTAGACTCACTTCTCCCTATTCCACCTGCTAAGTACAGCTAAAACTCCTACACATTATATATAAAATAAGCATAAAAAGACTCCAAAAGTTGGGAAAAAGAAGACAGACTGGCTAGGACCTGAGGAATGACACAGAAGTGAATTTCCCCAATTTTCCTTCTGCCTCATATATCCTGGACTGGATGCTGGAGAAGCTGACATCCCATAAACACAAACAGGCAAAAAAAACATACCAACAGACCAAAAAAGACCCACGAAAAATCTGTTCTGTCTAGCCAATGAAACAGGAGAGGAGGACCTAGCTAGACAGAAAACTTTTAGACAGTAACAGTTCTACTCCAGCCAAATACCACATAAAAGAACTTTAGTTCCATTCCCATCCCTGTCAGCAGAGGCTGAGTTGGTACCCTAGACTTCTACCCTCACATAGTTGTGAAGAGGTGCCCCTCCCCCTCTTAGGGGTAGTGTCAGAGAAGGCCTAGTGAGGAGCTTAGATTTCCATCCTTGCCCAACAGCAGAGGAATCCCTCACCACCACAAGCAGTGTTGTGTCAGTGGAGGCCCACTGGGGACCCCTGGACTTCCACACCCACCCAGCAATGACAAGGCAGTGCCAGAGGAGACCTGATGAATTAGAAAATAGGAACCAGAGTCTCATAACATGGTACCCAAAATTTCTAGAATGCAATAGAAAATCACTCATACCAAGGTCTAAGAAAATCTCAACTTCAATGAGAAAATATGATCAACAGATACCAATACCATGATGACACAGATGTTGGAATTATCTAAGAAAGATTTTAAGGCAGTTACCATAAAAATACTTCAACATACAATTACAACCACGCTTGAAAGAAATGATGAAGTAAAACGTCTTCAGAAAGGAACTGAAGATATAAAGAGCCAAACTGAAGTTTTAGAAGTGAAAAATACAATAAGTGAAATGAAAAACAAACTAGATAGGCTAACCAGCAGAATGGAGACAACAGAGTGAACTTAAAGATACAACTATAGAAATTACCCATTCTGACCAACACAGTAAAAAGTAAACCAAAAATAATATGAACAGAGCCTCAGAGACCTCTGGGACTAATAACAAAAGATCTAACATTTATGTGATAAGAAAAGGATAGGAGAGGGGAAAGAATATGGGCTTGAAAAGTATGCCAACTAATAATGGCTGAAAAACTGGCAAAAAATGTAAACCTACGGATTCATAAAGCTGAGAAATCAACAAACAGGATAAACCCAAAGAAATCCATGCAAAAACACATAATAATCAAACTCCTGAAACTTAAAGAAGAAAAATCTTGAAAGCAGTGAGAGAAACAATATCTTATCTACAAGGGAAAAACAATTAGACTGACAGCAAATTTCTCATCAGACACCATGGAGACCAGAGGGAAGTAGCACAACATTTTTCAAGTACTGAAAGAAAAGAAGTGTAAAACAAAAATTCTGTATCCATCAAAAATGTATTTCAAGAATAAAAGGAAAAAAACCATTCTCAGATGTAGGAGAACTAAGTGAATTATCTGCAGGAGATCTGCCCTAAAAAAAAAAAAATGGCTTAAAGGAAGTTCTTGAAACAGAAAGATGGAATCTTGAAACATCAAGAAAGAAAAAAGAAAAAATGGAAAGAGTAAAACTATGGTAAATACAATAGACTTTCCCCACTTCGGTTTTCTAAATCACGTTTGATGACTTGAACCAAAAATTATAACTTTGTTTGATATGGTTCTCAAATTATGTAGAGAAAATATTTAAGACAATTATAAATGGGGGACGGTAAGGGACTTGAAGGGAGGTAAAGTTTCTATACATAATTTTAACTGGCATAGTGTTGACACTACTAGACAGTAATGTATGTATCATGTATGTTTGCATGTATAATGTAGTACCTAAAGTAATCACTAAGGTATCTATACAAGGTGATAAAGTCAAAAACACTATAGATAAATCAAAATGGAATTCTAAAAAATGTAAAATTAAGCCATAAGGAGACAGGAATAAGATAGAGAAATGAAGAACAGAGATAATAAACAGAAAACAATAAGTTAACCCTAACATATCAATAATTACATTAAATGTAAGTAGTTTAAATACACTAATTAAAAGACAGAGATTGGCAGAGTGGATTAAAAAAATGATCCACCTATATGCTGTCATAATGAAATTCACTTTAAATATAAGAATATAGGTAGACTGAAATGCAAAGGAAGGAAAAGATATATCGTGTAAACATTAATTTTAAAGAAACAGAAGTGACTACATTAATAGCTGATAAAGTAGACTTCAGAGTAAAGAAAAGACCTCATTAAGAATGAGAAAGGAGATATAACAATAGAAATGGAGGAGACTTTAAAAATGAGAAGATAATACCAAGTACATTTTGTAAATCTATATAAGATTGACAAATTTTCTAGAAAAGTAAATAATATAAGTATAAGATTAATAAGAAACATTCATAAAACTATATCAGAAAAATTATGAAACTATTGAAGAGCATAAAAGGGGATTTAATTACTACAGAGACATATGTTCCTGGATGAAAATAGTTAATATTGAGAGGGCATTCATTCTCATTATATGAATCTCTCAATTCAGCGCAATTCTAAATAAAAATAAATACATAAAATTTTATGGACAAGCTGAATCTAGATATCATATGGAAGAGAAAATGCACCAGAATAACCAAATTTTTAAAAAAGAAAATGAAAGATTCATCATAATTAAAATAATGATAAAGATAGCATTCCAATTAGAGGTAAAAGAATGTAAATAAATACATTTGGGAAAATAATTTATTTAGGCTTGCTACTTTACTTTTTGTGCAAAAATAAATATGGGAGAATGTTTTTGTGATCTTAGGCTGAAGAAAGCTATCTTTGCAAGACACACCAAAAAAATTAACAGATTTTAAAACATGAAACTTTAAATATTTTTTTATAAAAAGCATCATGGATGAGGTTGAAAGACAAATAATAAACTAGATAAAGTATTTTCCAAACATATGATAGAGAAAAGGGTAATAGTCACAAAACATAAATTGCTCATGAAAGTCAGTTGGAAAAAAAGATAAACTACTTAATGGAAAAATGGGAAAGGGACATGAACAGGCAATTTATAAAAGAAATACATATGGCCAATGGATACATGAAAACATAATCTTACTGGCCATAAAATTAAAGCAATGTCTTCTTGTTTTGCCTATCAGATTAACAAAGATTTAAAAGATTAATGTCCATTGTTGTTAAAAATGTGGGAAAATACATGTTTATTGCAGCACTATTTACAAGAGCCAAGAGTTGGAACCAGCTTAAATGCCCATCTATCAGATGAGTGGATAAGGAAAATGTGGTATATCTACACAATGGAATACTTCTCTGCTATAACAAAAAAAATGAAATACTACCACTTGCAGCAACATGGATGGACTTAGAGAAAATTATATTAAGTTAAATAAGCCAGGCATAGAAAGAGAAATACCACATGTTCTCACTTATTTGTGGGAGCTAATAAAAATAAATAAGTAAATAAGTGAACGGGGGTGGGTGGGGAAAGAAGACACAACAATCACAATAATTCCTTGATTTTGTTAAGACAAGTGAACAAATATGATGTTGATGGGGGATGGGGGGAGAGGGAGGGAAGAAAAGGAGGAATTGGTAAAGGGACACAAAAATCAATTATATTGTATATAAATAAATTAAAATAAAAATAATAATAAATAAAAATAACTATAGTTTTAAAAAGTATGGGAAAACAGTTGCTTTGTATAATGTTGGTAGAAATGTAATTGGCACAATTTTTAGTGGGTAATTTGGAACTCTCTATAAGTTTTTTTAGTAAGTGTTCCCTTTGTCCTAACAGTTCTACTTGTAAGAATTTAGCCTAAGGAAATAATAGAATAATTAGATAAATATGTAGGTATGATGATCTTCATTACAGTGTTGATTATAAGGACAGTCTAAATGTCTGCTGTTGAATCATTTTTAGCTATTACAAAGGATAAGCTAGAAAAAGTGGATCACATAAGAGCATGTGTAGTATGATCCTTTTCACATAAAATCAGATTTTTGTTAGCCTTCTAGGTATTTCTGATGCCTATATACACATATAAATCAAGGCCCATTATATGAGATAATGTATATAAAATGCCTAGCACGGTGCTTGGCACATAACATTCAATATAGGTGCCGTTGTTATTACTGTCAGCATTCAGTGGTCATTAAGAGTTCTGCCATCAAGTACTGTGCTAAGTACTTATGACAGATAAGAAAATGCCTTTGAGGAATTCTGCTACTGGTCATCATCCCTTGCCATTTGCCCATTCTGCAGTGGTGTTGGTTCTCAGATGAATCGTTCAAGTACAGGGTAGTTAATGAGGAGTGTCTCATTTGTGCCATCACCATCAGAATGTTGGTTGGAAATTATTGAAAAATTTCCCCCTACTTCAAAGTTAAAACCACAAAGTTTGTTTTAAAATTCTCTTCATTTCAAGATGAAGATGGAACCAGCTTGAATTCAAGCATCCTGGCAGCACTTCAAAAAATGCAGGATGGCTATTTTGGTGGGGCAAGGTAAGTGACCTGTACACACTCTGTTGTGAAATTAAATGAAATTTGGGAGCTGGGTATGTTAGTGATAGCAGATGTTAGTTGTGATGTTAGTTGTGATGCCTTTCTCTGTATCTTCAACAACATAATCCCATCCTACTCAGAGGAGCTGGTGTTTGATAGATTGAGTAAAAGAATTTAATGTTATAGAGGAAGGTTGGAAGTTTTTTCTACCCTGTTCTTTGCCTAGGTCTCAGAAGACCAGAAAATTTATTCTTTTTAAAAAAAAAGCTACTAAATTATTTGATTCTGGCTGCTTTTCTTTTCTTTTTTCCTTAGGTTTTTACTTTGAAAATTTTCAAGCTTACAGTAATTTCAGCAATAGTACTGAACACTCATATACTCTTTCTCAAAATTCACCTGTTGTTAACATATTGTCCCAATGTGTATTCTCTCTCTCCCCCTTCTGTCCCTTCTTTCTTTCCTCCCTCTCTTCCTACCTAACCCCTCCCTCACACATCCATATGTATATACACACACACACATACTGTATATAATATACATATACATGCACACACTAAGAGAGTTAGCCATGGACATCATAACTCTGCAACCCTAAATACTTCAGTTTCTATCATCTAAAAACAAGGGAATTCTCATATATATCTATAATATAATTATCACACTTAGGAAATTTAATATTGATACATGATCTGATATCTGATATAGAGTCCATATTCAAAATTACCCAATTGTCCCAATAATATTTTTCCATAGCTTTTTTTCCCAGTCCAAGACAAAAACCAAAAATCACACATTAGCATTTAGTTGTTATATATATTTGGTGTCTTTTAATCTAGAACAGTTCCCCAGATTTTTTTTAATCTTTCATGACAGTTTTCATTACATTTTTGAAGAATGCAGTTAAGTTATTTTGCAGAATATCTCTCAATTTGGATTTGTCTAGTTGTTTTCTCATGATTAGATTCAGACTATATATTTTTGGCAGGAATACTGCCTGTCTGATGTTGGGTTCTTGTTTTAATATAGTATTTTTAAGATGGAGAATACCCCTTTAACTATTAGGAGAGACACAAGATGAAAATAAAGATTTTATTATTTACAGGTCCTGGGGGGTTACATGGCATGCCTGCAGACCACACACGTGGAGGTCAGAGAGTGCATGGAGAGAGAGAAACCCATGGGCCAACATTTTTATTGGGTCCAGGGCATTATCCAAATAGGTTTTCTGCAGAGAGTTTTAATTGGTGGGTTTAAAGCAAGCAGGCATGAGTTCCAGGAGGTCACACTGTGACTGAAAGGTGGTGGCTGTGCATATATGCACAGTCTGTGCAGGGTGTGGGGATGAGTGGGGCCAGTCAGGTAGGTTGGATCTAACTGTCCTACAGGGAGGTGGTCACCAGGAGGAAGTTGTAAAAGGCAGATATCTGGATCTACCACATTCAGGAACTGGGGAAGGTGTAGAACCGGAAATTGTGTGAAGGGTAACTGAGCCCTGCTTCTGGTATGATAAAGTTAAACATATTTAAAATGGATGTCAAGGCAACATAAAATCATAAGAATTCACTACAGTCCTCCTCGGTGCATCAAATCAGGAGGCACAGGAGATTGGTTTGTCACATTATTTGGTGATTTTAACCTTGACTACTTGATTAATGCGGTTTCTGCCAGATTTCTTCATATCCTTTCCCCAGTTGTCTTCAACCAAATGGTGTTAGCTTCCATTGATTCCTATATGAAACAGTTAGTACTAATGGAGTTGTAAAATGGCATTTCTGTGTTTCTACCATTCTGTGTACATTTCTTAGTTGGAATTCTTATGTAAAAAAAAGAGAGAGAGAGAGAGCTTTTCCTTCCCGTTTTTTATTTTGTAGTTTAGTATCAGCATAGATTCATCAATTCTTATTTTATTTAATATATCATGATTCATTCCTCTCATTATTTATTTCAATGTTCAAATTATACAAGTTCTGGCTATTGGTAGCCTCTTCAAGTTAGCTTCTTTAGAAAATTGGTACTACTGACTTTTATTTTGGATGCTGTAATGGGCTTTACAAGAGGGGAGGATATGGCTTACTATCTACTATAATTTATAAAAATTTTAAGTACTATCTTTCATGTTCAAAATGGTCTTTTTCGGCTATTTTTGTAATGATGTGATGGATTTGTGATGTTTTAGCTTCATTCTCTCTGGCTTCTCTAGTAGCCAATGTAAATCTTTACCAGATGTTTGGCATAGCTAGTTAGCAACATAGTATATGGCAGTGGAAGAGAGCAAAACTGATCAACTGGTGGACTGTGAACCCATAACTAGCCTTTATTAACACAGTCCCCTAAGCACTTAAGCTGTACACTATGCTTAGGAGTGCTGTAAAATTTCACTTTTATAAAATTTATACTAATGTCTGAACATTAGTAATCCCCCAACAAAACATGCTAGGTATCATTTTGTCACTAAGATTGTGTTACTTTAAAAATGATCTCCCCTGATTTTCTGTTTCTATATACCCTCTAATTATCAGGATTCAAACAGGCAAATTGTCAGAGTTTTTAACAACATCTTGCTGCACACACTTGAGCTTCATGGACCCTGGACCTGAGGGTAAGCTGTACAGTGAAGATTATGATGACAACTATGATGAGCTGGAATCAGGCGACTGGATGAATGGCTATGATTCAACCAGTAATGGTAAGGAGGCTTCATAAAGCACTGGCCTGGCTGAACAGGAATACAAAATTTTGTTTATCATTGTCCTTAATAAATTCATGCTGCCAGCAGTCTCAGAGTTCCATCCTCACTCCTTTTTAATATGCCTAGATTTCTACTTTTGTTTGGCTTCACTTTTTATCTCTCTACTTACCTTTGGTTTCTGATCTAACATCCCAGTGGTGATCATGGAGTGTGGAGTTGGACTGTCCCTAAATAAGGTTAGGGAAGATTTTCCTCCTGGACATTGGAAGTGGCTGGTGATATTGCAGTGGGAAGAGGGCTGGCTGATTAGCTCAGTTGGTTAGAGCATGGTACTGATCACTCCAAGGTCAAGGGTTTGGATCCCCATACTGGCCAGCCGCCAGAAAAAAAGGGGGGGAGGGGGGAAGAAGCAGTGGTGAGTGAGATATTTAGTCAAATATGTAATTGGAAAATTATACGCATATGATACTGCTTTTTGACATTAAAAAGCATAAAAATTTGAAATTTAATTAGAGTGCTTTTTATATAATATTCGAGGGGCATATCAGAATATCTGGGGAGATCTGTGTCATTTGAAAAGGCTTTTCAGTATGCCTATTGCTTTTATATTACAAACTAGGCAAATAAAAGCACAACAAAAACAAAATCTAATTGGCTGCTGAGAATACAAAGATGATATAGTGAGAAAGCATTTCAGGGACATGGATTAAAACTGGCTGCAAAACAGTGCCCTGCAGTGTTAAAATACTGACTTAGGCAGGGCAAGCATTATATTGTTTGAATTCCAAAGAGAGAAGGGCCAATAAGAGAATTATCCTTCTAGCTCTCTAAAACATGATTTGCCTGCTTTCCTTGTCTGGGTATTTGATTGTAAGCCTATATTTTAAGGCAGCCAATTTCTTTATCTTAAGAGCAATGTGTTGGAGAAAAAAATAATAAATCTGCTTTCCTCAGTGAGGTAGCAAGCATAATCTCATGTACAATAGACCAACAGGTTAGCAGTCAGAAGGACTATTTTCTTGTTTAGGCTTGGCATTTACTCACTTAAGTACCACTTTATTCACTCTGTATTTGTTTTTGTAAGATCTAAAATAGTTTGAATTTCTTTGTTGTAAAAGTACATTAAATACAAGGCTATATACTTTTATCAATAATAACCAAAGTCATGATGTCTATCTCAGCACAAAATACTTTGAAAATTAGACGAGAATGATCATATACTGAGGTTGTTTGCTATTCCATGGGTAGTTGTGATTTTCATCTGTAGTACTTGTTTCCTTGTATTAATTTCTAAAATACATCTTTTTTTTTTTTTTTTTTTTTTGTCTTTTTTGTGACCGGCCGCACCGCGCTCAGCCAGTGAGCGCACTGGTCATCCCTATATAGGATCCGAACCCGCGCGGGAGTGCTGCGGCGCTCCCAGCGCCTCACTCTCCCGAGTGCACCATGGGGTTGGCCCTAAAATACATCTTTTTAATAATATGTATTACTACATTTGATATTATGGCATTCTGAGTCACTTTCCCACATCTGGGTTTACTCATCTGTGATCTCACGATGGGTGTGTTTGTTGCTTGCCAGCCTTCTGTGGGTAGAGAGCTTCTCTCCATATTCTTCATAACCCTCCATTCAAGTATCTGGATTGCATTCAAGGTTAAAATATTTGTCATTAGGATGTCACTGAATATAACTTTCATTCTTACAGCTCTGCTAGTTCTTATTAGTCATATCAGAGCACAGAAAGATATCTGGAGAGATCGTTGAAGATTGCCAAAACTCAGATGACGCATGACTGACTTAGCAGACTTCAGTATTGATCCAGTGTGTTTTTCCAACTATAAACATTATGAATATTCATGTAAAATCTGAAATAGTAAACATCCACAGGGTATATGTATGTTTTTTGTTTCCATTATCTGTATTCAGAGATAATGTTATAGAAGGTGTATGGGGGAGGGGAAGCCCAAGAGGATAGGGACCATATCTGTCTTCTTCACCACTGAAACCTCGGCACCTAGTACACTACCTAGTACATATTAGCCAATAACTATTTGGTGAATAAACAAATGATGTGACTAAGAAGACAAGTATGTGGCCAATAGTCCTTTCTACACCAATGCCACATGGAGGTTGTTTTTTTATTAGTAAATGTAGCTGCCATTTGTAGAATCTGTTTGTTTACAACTATGCTCAATGTTTGGTGGAAGATTCTTATCCTTCCCTGACCCTTTCTCACAAAATTCTTCTCATACAACTGGGACTTGGAAAGCCCTGTTCTGCTCCTCCACCACCACTGCCATCACTGCCACCACCACTACCATCACATGCACACACACACACACATATACAGATTATGAAACGCCTGCTCCACCCATCCTAGAATAGCTCATACTGCTTTCAGGAACTCTAACATTGTCTCAGCAAAGTTGAAGAACGGATGGGTCCTGGTAAAATGGCCATAGTCTCTAAATCTTAAAGCTATGAGGTTGCATAATGATCACAAGTTTTTTTTCCCCCATGAGCTAAAAACAACCTACTTATGGTGCTGTGTTGTGGGCACAGTAACGTGTCATTCTGTTTGCTGGAGTAGACTGTGAAGGAGCTAAAATGTTCATTTTTTTTCTCCCCCCCCCCCCCCCCCCCCCCCCCCCCCCCCCCCCCCCCCC